GCTTTGCATGGATTTTATATTTCAAAATTTCTTGAAAAACTCCTCTTCTACTTTTTCACATTCAACTCATTTGAAAATATAATAGTATATTTTTTAGAGTTATAATGAGGACAATAGCCATGAAATTTATATAGTTAAAGAAAATATCACACAAAAACAATATATATTATTTATTAGATAACATGCCTTAATATGTCTTGTTTTACTATAATTAAGTTTATTGTGGACTAATTCTCTTTTTAATTTGACACTATTAGTCGAAATTTTTAAGCTATTATCAATCTTTAATTAAGTAAAATTAACAATAATATTTTATTTTACTACATTTATATTGACTCACGATAATAATTATCTATAATTTTTCCGAAACATAATACATTGTGTACATGTCGCGACCTCCCCGGACCGATCGGGTTTAGGCCAAGAGGTATTTGTCAAGGACCGAGGCACTCCCGAGCCTCATACCTCACGCGACGAGAATTGTCTAATTTATACATTCGATTGGAGTCGCCACTAGCCATGATCAGGGGTCGGCTAGAAACCCTAATTGAGACGCAGAAATGTTGTCTCGATACGTGCAAAAATCAGAGATTTCAAAATTCGAGGACTTGATTACACTAGCGATCTACTAGTGCCCTTTCGGCACCTAAACTTGATCACTCGCAAACTAACGTACCGGACAGCCTATCGAAAAAGTTACGATTCCACCTAACCGTTCTAAAAATAGAAAATAACAATCAATGTATTAAAAGTGCGCAACTAGATAGTCATAAAGAAAATAAACAATCAGCGACTTAGCATCGTCTCTAGAAAGGAAAAGACAATCAAAAGCCCTAATGGCTTATTCGATTTTTGAGAATTTTTTAAGGGGTTTTTCTTATTTTTCATTTTTTTTTAGCTTTTAACCTAAAATCTAGTGAAATTAAGCCCAAAACTGATTTCTGGACATTTCCTAATTTTCTGGATTTTTTTGGAATTTTTCGAATTTTTTCCTAATTTTTTAATGTTATTGAATTTTCTGAATTTTTTAATGTTTTCTTTAGATTTTTTTTATATTTTTGGGTTTTTTAAACATTTTCGAATTTTTTGTAATTTTTAATATTTTTTGAATTTTTTAATATTTTTTAATATTTTAATATTTTTAATAATATAATAATTCCGGACCGGGTCCCCTGACCCGATCCGCCCGACACATGACCCGGGACCCCCCATTCCCCACCCCCTTTCTATTTTTCATTCCTTTCTTTTGATTTTCTTTTTTCTTTTTTTCTTCTTTTCTATTTTTTATTGCTTTTTCCTCCCCTACGTACTTTTTCCATGCACGTCCTTCTTCCTCATGGAGTCACCGAGAGCTCACTGAGACCACGCCGAGGGCTCTTCACCTTCATGCCTCGCCGGAGCGAACCTTCCACGGCCCTCAACATTTTCCGTCGACGCCAACGGCCGTCATCGGCTCATTCCCGTCGACCACCACACTCCCGTAGCCAAGTACTCCGGCTATCGCCGTGATAACCTCGGCGACGTTAAAACATTAAAACATTTCGAGACGGAAACCGATTCATCATAATAAATGTATATACGCATATGAAAACGGCGGGACATGAGAGTAACTGAGGCAGCCTCAAACCGCGGGCTTCTTTGGCATAGGGAACGGGTTTTCCGGCAAAAGCGTGTTCGTCCATGGCCGACTCGGGAAGACGATTTTCATGTCACAAAATCACACGAAATTATGGAGTCAGTCACCAAAACATCAACCTTAAAAATGAATAAGACGTATACCGAAGATTTTATAAACTGATTTCATGTTTATTTTCGGTTTGGCCTTTACTCGGACACCTCACCAAACAGAAGGTGGACAAGCTCAAACAAAGGTTTAAGGTTGAGATTTAGTATGGCTTTTGACTCAAACGTGATACATAAAACTCTAAATAGCCATGTTTCAATGTCTCACTCAAAAACTCCAAGATCGACTTTGGTGCTCTGTGCATGTGATATTTCGTTCGGACATTTCAGCGAACAGTCGGCATGCGTCAAAAAGTATGCATTCCAGAGACACTTTTAAAGCAATTCTCAGTCCAAACACAATGTCTTGGCCCTTAATCTCTCCCAAATCATGATAGACTTGTTTCGGTTTCGCTCGACTTGCTCTAAAAATCACTAGTTTGGTTTAACGTTTTCGAGTTAAAAAAAAACAGGACGAAACAGAGCATGAAATGGAGGAGTTACCTGGTTCGGGAAGGGCAGAAAGTGGGCGAAGTCAACGAAGGATGAGGCTGAGCTCGTCCCTTCGCTGCAGCTAGGGCTTGGTTTCGCAGCGACTTGGTCTCGGGCGGATTAGGAGGCCGGATGGTCTTCGATCGAGGCAATCGGAAACTATGGCGGGAGGCGTTAGCAAAGAAGTGACTGGAAGGGGGAGGAAATTTGCCGGCGATCCTCCCAGAAAGAGGAACCGAAGCGCTTTCCTCTTCAAAACCCCTCTCTTTTCTCCATTTTCTCTCGTTCCACTCTGTCTCCTCTGGTCTCTCTTCTCCCTTTTTTCTCCCCTTCTCTTCTGGACCCCCTCTCTATCTTTTTAAAATTGAACCCAGCTTTTGTCTCGACCATCAATAGCCTTCATTGGTCAACCATGTCAACCACCCTAGCCTTCCATTTCGAGCTCAGAGGCACCATCGGATCAGTGTGCTTTCTCTGTTTCTGTATGTGCAAACAGCCGGTCTTTTACTTGGGACTAAATCAGGTCCGTTTTTGGCTAAAATGGCTGCAAGTCTTCTTGGTCCTTGCGTGGCTAGGTTGCAGCACCGCACGACACTTCCTCCCTTCTGAAATCACGATCGACATCTTCCTCGCGCAGAGCGTTTTTGTCGTTCCTGTTTGTCCCGTCCGGCTGAGCGTGAGCGTGAGAGGAAGGAGTGGCCGAGGGGCTGGGCTGAAGGCTAGAAGACAGGCCAGGTTGGGCCGGGGAAGCCAAGCAAAAAATAGGCCAAAAGTGGGTCGAAAAGAACAAACTGACAAAGAGGTAAAAAATAAACGGGTTGGGCTCAGAGAAAAAAAATGAAAAAAAGAGGGCTGGCCCTATCGGGCGGGACCAAATAGGCCCGACCGATCCCCCTCCTTTTTTTTTTAATTAATTAATTTTTTACTTTTTTTAATTAACAATTTTTTTTAAAATTTTTTGAACTCATTGTCTCCCTTTTACCTCAATTTGGCCCACTTACAATTTAGGCATCGATTTAACGAGACGGGCAAAATTAGGTGTCAACAGTACAGTACTGTTATAAATTGTTCTAATTCCTTATATTGTGTCTCGTATAACGTTAGTCTATTCTACTACAAATTTTATTGCACGCAACAAAATCAATTGTTCTCCTCTATTATTGTGTAGATGTTTCATCTGTATTTTCTTTCTACGACATAGTCAATTTTACTTGAATTTGTAAACATAAATGTAATTTCATTCTCATGGAGTCAATTTTACTGCTAAGCACTTTCAATATAATTAGATATATACGATGCTCATGATATTCTTCTCCCGAAATTTTCTTGTAAAAGAAAACTTTCATCTCTATCACATAGTCGGTGTACATAGTCTATTCCTCTATTCATACATCTCAATATAATTAACTATTTTCTAATTATATTGAAACTTTTATCACAATATAATCAGATGTTTGTAATTAGATAGAAACTTTCAAGAGATTTTCCTGTAAATTTTACTTTTCTTTGAAAGACTATTAAAAATTTATTTTGAAAAAGGAATCTTTTTCCTTAAATTGAATGCATCTAATGTTCAAGAGACAGTTTTTGGTGTAAGTTAATAAATTTTAATGCATTAAACATACTTTAAATTGCGATCTATGGGAATGCTAGAGAGAATACCGAAGCATTTACGATGTCGAAGCGGATGAATTATATGGATCGGTGGATGAATTTGGTGGCTAACTAATTGATGTGAAATAAAAGTGTAGAATGTAAAATAAAATAATTTCTTAAATTATGCGACTAATATGCACAAAAGTAGCCGGGAAAGCGGTAACTAGTTAATACGAAGGGAGAAAAATAAGAAGGCGTGACGTGATGCGGGAGCGACGAGAAGCACGATGTCCATGAACTTATACAGATCAGTTAAAGTTGAAAAAGAAAACGCTTCTGCGAAGAATCGTCTAAAAGGAAATGCAAGCGTTGAAGGCATGAGTCACAAAGGAGGATACATCAATGAGAGCTTCAATAAGCATCTTTTGCAGTATTCTGGTTATTCTTATCAAAAAGATAGGAAATGAAATATATTTGCTGGAAAAAAAGAAGTTATAGCCAGATACTTTCAATGCAATGGTCTTTGACGCACATCACCAACGATTGGAACCAAGTTGCACGAGTCTCTTAAATCTGGGAGGAAATCAGCATAGAATTTTGTCTTTGATATGCCGATAAATGTGGATTGATTGGGAAGATGACCCTTTGTAATGACAATTGATTTAAGTACTATTTATCATGTGCGACGATTGAAACAAGTGTGTTGTCACTATTAAAGATAATTAGGGATTTCTTTAGGATAATTTTCATTATTAAAAATATTTTGGTAATTCTGTTGATTATATGTACCTCTCAAGATTGCACTTATATTGCACCTTGTACGTGTACTGCACATATACCTCCTTTTAATTGTGCATTTATTGATTGAGATATTATCTTTAAATAGCTATCTAAGGTTGATGTATTATTTATTAATATATACATCGAAATATACAGAAATTCCACAATTCTCTCTTCCTCTTTATTATTTCTCAACTGTCACCGAAGATAGGGTCACTCGCGCATCAATCTCATGTGATTCTATAGAAAAATTCAAGGAATTTAATACTTCCCCTAAGAAAGAAAAGTCTTAAATATTAAAAAATAGGTAACAACATAAATTTCAGCCACTCCCATTAATGTCACGTGAGCTCTTATATGTACCTGTCTCGTTTCACCAACATTTTAGAATTCTAGGGCAAATTGTCACAATCACACAGCATACGCTATATCCGGAGAGGCCCCGCGAAAGAAAAAACATCATGAGGAAGTCCGTACTCCTTTCTCTGCTCGCACTGGTTCTTATCTCCAATCTGGTTGATCTCTCGAAAGGTATGTCTATCATTTTTTATCTCAAAGAGCCAACGACCCACTAAGACATATCTACAACTACATCCCCAGAAGCAGTCAGATATCTTGTGTCAAGTAATCCAACAATTCGATTTTCTTCATTGAAAGAAAAAAATAATGAAAGATCTGGCTGATAGAACCAGGTCATGCGGAAAGAACTAAGGAATTCCTTATCAGTATTCTGCTTTATTTCGAGTCATGTCGAATTTTTCAATCTCCATGCATTGCGGTTGAAATCCAGAATAAAAGACAGATCTAATTTCCCCATTTTGCAAAATGAAAGCTCATGATAAGTATATGGGCGAAAAGGATAATTGTCGCGACGCTTAGCCGACAAAACCTCTCCAATTTAATTTTGGTTTTTTCTTCTTTTCTTCGTTTGATTTTTCAGGAGATCTCAAATTTTGTCGGAAAGAAAAGATGTACCATGGCGCGTGCGGAGATGACGGGGGATGGCAGTGCGTTCTCAAGTTCTTGGGCGATTTCGGGGCCGGCGCGATGCCGCAGAAGTGCATCTGCACAACAAAGGGAACCAGCCGGCAGCTTTGCAATTGCCTTGTGGTTTGCCAGGACTATGTGCCTGCCAAACCCAATGCTTAGTTGTCTATTGCCATTTATATGTAGGTGCCAAGTTTGCACCAGTTGAGATCGATCGATGCTTAATAAGATTTGAACTGGTGTTTGGGTCCATTTTACATGCATCTTAATCCGGGTTAAGCCCAGCTGTGGTTGCCGGAATTATGAATTTTGCAATCTAGTTTGTCGAATTTTAATTCCAATCTCTAGATGAATTAACGCACTTCCACCGATATCCAACCACTTTCCTGGCAAGAACATGATGTGGGAGAGCACTGCGGCAATTAAAATGAAAATAATTTCTGGCGAGTATGTAACTTACTAGCATTTTTTAACTTTTTATAATGGATAATTTACCAATTTTGTACTAACTTACCAATTTTTATTTGCATAAGTTACAGACATTTCGGATTTACTAGATCTTGTATGAATTTATCGATCTAAATTAGAATGACTGACTAACTTTTGTCAGATTCAATTACTAACTACTTATTGGGCTACCTAGTCTCGTTTGGGTAACTTGCCAACTTTTATTTAATTTATTAAGTTAACAAATTTTATTTGCTTTGGTTAGCAACACGTCAAAACTTTACTATCTTCGTAGAGTTTACCGATATAAATTAGTGTGATTTACCACGTAATATTGGATTACTAACTCTCTGTTTACACCAAAAAATGGCGAACTTGTCGACATGGTTCGTTTGTGCCAAAGGTCATCAAGGGACACATGGCGGAGACTTGAGGTAACGTGGAAGCAAATATCATTAAGTTGCCAACATAAGGGACACATGTCTCTGACATGTGTCATGTGTATATATTTACACCCAAAAATGATCAATTTTTGGGTATTATTGACAAGACTGGTCACGACTTCATCAACGAAATTTCAGTTCTGCGCTAATTCGGGAAAATGGCCATAACTTCTTGGAGACAGATCGGATTGACCTGATTCCAAAGCCAAAAGAACGAAGACTCCTGGATCTACAACTTTTATGTTTTGAGTTTTCTCAGAAAATCACTATATAAGCCATCGAGGTTAAAGGAAGTCGACGGTCGTGACTTCATCTTGTCGAGGACCTCGATGAAATTTCAGTTCTGCGCTAGTTCGGGAAAATGGTCATAACTTCTTCAAGACAGATCAGATTGACCTGATTCCAAGGCCAAAAGAACTAAGACTCGTGGATCTACAACTTTTATGTTTTGAGTTTACTCAGAAAATCACTGTAGAGTTTTCGACATTAAGAGGAAGTCGACGGTTGTGACTGGTTGGAGATGCAGAAAGAAGAAGTAACCATCAACATAGTGGATCGAAGCAACCGCCAACGTAGTGGAGTCGAATAAACCGTCAAGACAAGATCGTGGGACAGTTATCTTGAAAGCAGGATCATGGCATCACATGGAGATGAAGGCAAGATTTTCGGAATGGAAAAACATGGGCACAACCGTTGAAAACCGCTAAAGAGCAGTTACTACATAACCATTATAAATATCACTGGCCATCTACTGGAGAGACCACCCCCGACAAAATCAAACAACATGTTATCTTTCAATTATCTTTACTTTCATATTCCGCACTTTATCTTTCCTTAGCTGTAGCTTTCCGATTCGCGTCGTCGATTAAATTCTGGCGTGTATCTCTATCCCGAGTGTGCGGCTGTATTTTCAAGCTTTGTCGTCGATTAAATTTCAGCACGGTTTGTACATATAGTCCGGTTCGAAGTTCGAAGTAAAAGTTCCTAGTTTTTCCTTGTCTTCCTGGATATTTCCTGTCCGGAATCGCCACGGAACCCAGTCTCCTCTCATTAAGAATCGAAGAACGACTTTCGGTGAATTATATTTCGCCGCGGGAGCATTTTCTAGTGAAACACTCTCATTTTAAGTTACTGTTGTTTCTTATTTTTTTTAACTTGCCAACTTTTCTTATTGTCTAAAAACTTGTATTTGTCTTTCTTATCAACATCTTACATATACCGTCTCATTTTAGGAAATACCATCATTTATTAGAGTGACTGACCCACTAGTCTTAGGTACCAACTGTTATCCAATTTCTTACCAAATTTACTTTTCTTTTAGATCCTAAATTTTCCTATCACTTATCTTTCTTAACTATGCCTTACATTTAACAACTCTTATGTAAAACTACTAATTTTACTATAAGTAACTTATCAAGTTTTCTTTGATTAAGCTATCAACTAATTCTAGCTTATTAACTCATTTGAATTAGTTACCAACATTTATATTTACTAACTTTCTAATGGGTTACTTAATTGACAAAAAGGTTGGCAAGTCACTTTAATAAAAGTTGGTAATCTTATATAATAGTTAGTAAATAGAAGGTGTTTGTAAAAAAGGTAAGCTGGTATCAAACAACAGATTTTTTTTTGTTTGAGATAAGAGAAATTGGTGATTAAAATACAAAAAATAATCATCGGGTAGCTAACTTAAATAAGAAATAGTAACGCAAAAGTAGTTTAAAACATAGTCGGAGAAAAATTAATATCCATGCTTATCTAGCTGGTAATCTCTAAAAAAATCTTAATAAATTTAAAAGTTAGTAAGTAAGACAAATATAAATCGATAAACGATATCAAAAGTTAGTAACTCAACAAAAAATGAAATAAACCTTGGTAAGTAACTAAAACTAGAGCCGATATTCGAGAATAGTTGGAGGATAATTACCCAAAAAGTCATAATACTATTACACGCATGTCAATTCAATCTCAAATTTTTTAATTTGGTCAAATGACTCATAAATATATCTAGCATTCCAAGCAGATAGGTTCCTGGTAGTTTACAAAACATTAAACTACACATAAAAACATGAACAGTCAACATGCATTAATTCAGCAACCTAGTACTTGATCGGCAATCGACGTGAATAGTCTTCGCATCGATATCTTCAATTTGGTTCCATTGCAAATAGGATTTTGACAGGGAGGCCTGAAGAGAAGAGCAAAGAGACATATTGGGGCATGCGTGAGGAAATAAAGAGACGCTCGTTCATGTCTGAGCAAGTGTGCGGGCAGAAAAGAAAACAAAACAAAACGAGAAAAAAAAAAAGGAGAAATGAAGAGAGCCAAGAGGCAGAATCTCATGTAGAACAGGGTCGGTCGCGTATCAATCTCATCCACGATCGGGTGAATCTAGAAAAATCCACGAGTTTCATTCCTTCCCTTGAGAAAGCATCGTCTGAAATATTAACCAACAGGTAAGGAAATAAACGCTTGCTTTTCATAAAATATTCTGTCTAGATCGTGCTTGTAATTACCATTAATTGTCACGTAAGCCCTTTATATGTAACCCTGCTTCGCAAGCGTTTCAGAGTTCTAGGGCAAATTGTCACAATAACACAGCATACGCCATTACCGGAGGCCCCCAGAAAAGGAAAAACATCATGAGGAAGTCCGTGCTCCTTTCTGTGCTTGCACTTTGTTCTTGTCTCGAATCTGGTTGATCTCTCAAGAGGTAGATATGTCCTTGTCCTAATATATCTTTCTTTCGTATTTTTTTTCCTACGTTTTGACAAAAAAAAAGATACACCCTCTTCGCCGATGAGAGAGAGCTTGTTGTAAGCACATGGACGAAAAGAATAATTTTCTCGACACGTAGCGGCTCGGGACGGGGAATTCTCGTGTGATTGCAACAGAACCTCTGTGGTTTGATTTTTTTTTTTTTCCCTTTCCTCATTTGATTTTTCAGGAGATCTTGAGTTTTGCCGGAAAACAAGGACCTACAACGGCACGTGCGGAGATGACGGGAGCTATCAGTGCTTTCTCAAGTTCTTGAACGAATTCGGGGCCAGGGCGATGCCGCAGAAGTGCATATGTAGACCAGAGGGAACCAGCCATCAGCTTTGCAATTGCCTTGTGGTTTGCCAGGATGACGTACCTGCCAAGCCCAATGCTTAGTTTTCTTTTTTTCCAATGCTTAGTTGTCTATTGTCATTTATTTGTAGGAGCAAAGCTTGCACCAGCTTAATGAGGTCGATCAATGCTAACAAGAGTTGAATTACTGTCGGGAACAAAGTTGGCAAGTCAAATTTTCTGTGTTAGTTGGTAGATTGAAGATGTCGATATAGAGGGCAAATAAACATAGAAGTATGGTAAGAAAATTCTTCTTCTCCAAGATAAGAGAAGTTGGTGAATTAAAGAAAGGGAAAATGCCACCAAAAACCCTAAATTATTACCCTGAACTTTTTTTTTTACACGAAAAACTTCAAACTATGCCACTTGTGATAAATTTACCCTGAACTTTTTTTATGACACGAAAAATCCCAAATTATGCCACTTGTGATATATTTACCCCACAATACTTTGACCCACGGGCATTTTCGTCTTTTTCTTTTTCCTTTTTTTTTTCTTTCTTCTCCAGCGAGGGCGGTCCTCGCCGGCGGTGGGTTGGGCGAGGGCTGCCCTCGCCGGATCTGGCGAGGGCGACCCTCGCCAGCGTCGGGCAAAGGCTGCCCTTGCCGGATCTGGTGAGGGCGACCCTCACCGGCGTCGAGCGAGGGTCGCCCTCACCTAGGCGGGCGAGGGCAGCCTCGCCCAACGCCAGCGAGGGTCATCCTCGCCGGCCCAAGTGTGGGCAACCCTCGCCCGACGCCGACGAGGGTCGCCCTCGCCCGCCCAGGCGTGGGCAACCCTCACCCGACGCCAGCGAGGGTTGCCCTCGCCAAATCCAACGAGGGCAGCCCTCACCCAACCCACCGGGCGAGGCTGCCCTCGCCCGCCCAGGCGAGGGTGACTCTCGCCCGACGCCAGCGAGGGTCGCCCTCGCCAAATCCAGCGAGGGCAGCCCTCGCCCAACCCACCGCCGGTGAGGGCGGTGAAGAAAGGAAAAAAGAAAAAGGAAAAAGATGAAAATGCCCATGCGTCAAAGTATTGTGGGGTAAATGTGTCACAAGTGGCATAATTTGGAGTTTTTCGTGTCATAAATAAAAGTTTAGGGTAAATTTATCACAAGTGGTATAGTTTGAGATTTTTCGTGTCACAAAAAAAGTTCAGGATAAATGTGTCACAAGTGGCATAGTTTGAGGTTTTTTGTGGCATTTTCCCTTAAAGAAACAAGGTTACTTTCTCAAACAAGAGATATTAATGGAAAACTAATTGTTTA